TAATATTAAAAATATTAGGGGGGGTCCTCCAGGAGGGGGGTCCTCTAGACGTTTCCCAAAGGAGTCACCTCTTTTATAGTAAAGAGAATTGATTGCTCATGCAACACTTACAAATAATAATGAGGGAAGCACCAAATAAGGGAAACGATGACAGATGGATATTGAATTAACTTGTGCATTTGTGTTGCCTTTGTAACATTTTTTTTTTTTTATATTTTGTTTCAGAATGGCTGACCAAGATGTACTGGGCAAACCAGTGGGTGGCTTATGCCGCAACGCTTCACAACTTGTGCCAGGCAAGGAGTACAAGATCAAATATGTGTACCAAGAGCTCAGCCGTTTTACCAACTTCGTCACAAAGAATTATGATATGAAGACAATTTGTGTATATGAAGACCTTGATTTGTTGTTCTACACATATCTGTGCAAGGATTACGACAACAAGACCGCTGGCCAAATCAAAGAGTACAATGACAACATAAAAGCTGGACACAACATTCGGCTCATCTACTATGGAAGCGTTGGAAATTATAACATGACAAGACTTTTGACACATGGTCAAAGTAAGTTCCCTGTATAGAAGAAATTGTAATACAAATTTTATGTGTCACTTTAAGTAATGACTTATTTCAATTATTTTTTTTTCTTTCGCAGAACCTAACAACGAAACCAAACAAGGAATGAAGGCTATTACCAATGCACAGACAAACACCTTTTTCTTGAAGCGAAAGAAAGATGATGACGATGATGACAGATCCAACAGAAAGATTGCCAAAACATCAAGTGAGGAGAGTTCGGCGCAATAATAAGTGATTGTAAATATGGTAATTTTTGTTCTATTTAGTGATGGAGACTGATTTTTTAATACTTCGTTAGTTGTAAATACGTTATATCATTGAGGATTGAAAGGTATCTCGATCTTGATCTGTTCTAGTTATAACAGTTGTCTAGATATTGAATTACCTTTTTGTGATTTACATTTTTGTGGTTCGTGATAGGACCACACAAGCTGTTGTTGTACTTGGTGATGAAAACTGATTTTTTAATCTTTCGTTTGTTGTAAATGTGTCATATGTTTGAGGATTGAAAGGTATCTTGATCTTGATCTGTTCTAGTTATAACAAATGTCTTTTCGTTTGTTGTAAATGTGCCATATGTTTGAGGATTGGAAGGTATCTCGATCTTGATGTGTTCTAGTTATAACAGTTGTCTAGGTATTGAATTACCTTTTTGTGATTTACATTTTTGTGGTTCGTGATAGGACCACAAAAGCTGTTGTTGTACTTTGTGATGAAGACTAATTTTTTAATCTTTCGTTTGTTGTAAATGTGTCATATGTTTGAGGATTGAAAGGTATCTCGATCTTAATCTGTTCTGGGTGAACTTGTGAGTTTTAAATTTGTCTGAAATGGACACAGAATGTAATTTTTCCACAGCTTTCCGTGATGTTTGCTCGCCATTCTTCCACATATCTCGGGTATGCTTGTGGCCGTTTGAGTTAGAAAAGCAATTTCTGAGAGTTTTCAAGAGATGTGGCGGGTCAACAATAAAAAAAAAATGGCCTATCTTCAGCAGCTGCTACATTTTTTGCCCCTGATGGATATGCAACCCACCGTACAGGGGCCCAGACACGGGGTCAAGTTGGGCACCACTTCTTAAATGTGACCTAGGGGTATGTACCACATGCCCCAAAAGTCGGTTTTGCTCTACTAAGAAATGCAAGGTTGGTCCCATATCCGAGGCTTAACAAGCGCACTGTGGGGG